TCTGCAATAATAGGAACCAGGCTCCAGAGAAATGGCTGACTCCAGGACTGGGGCAGAAAATATACAAGATGAGCCTGGAGCATCTTGTAGTGCCAAAAAGTAAAGATGAGCTTTAAAAAAAAAAAAAAAAAAAATCACACAACAATGGAGGTATATCAAGTCAAAGGAACACAGGAGACAACTAAAAGAGCTCCCAATGGGCAAAGCCAAAATAATATGAGCAATAAAATAGAGTAGTATTGGATTATAACCCAAAGTATAAAATATCCATGGGTCCATATCAATAAAAATAAATGATTGAATAAGTTAGTAAATGGGGAGAAGAGATGAATCTCCTTTGCGGAAGAATTCCAAATAATGTATGTGGGTACTTTGCCTTCAAGGAGGTAAGGCATAACAATTCTCCCCACCCCCTGCCCTGCCCCTCAACTCCTTAACTGTGGGCTGTGCAGAGTGACTTTCCTTCAAAGAGTACAAGATGTAAAGGAAGAAGAGTAACCTTACAAAGTGGAGAAACTTTACAAACAGGTGATCAGGGTTAACACTGATAAATCATATTAAGAATGTGTATCCTTCATATGTGATAAAATGGCACTTTACCTCTGGATCCTCCTCCGAAAAAACACATACACCCAGTCTAATCATGAGAAAAATATCAGACAAATCCCAGTTAAGAGGCATCCTATAATATATTTGACCAGTACTCTTCAAAACTATCAAGGTCAACTTCAAAAACAAGGAAAATCTGAGAAACTGCCATAGCCAAGAAGAGCCTAAGGAGACATGACAACTCTCTAGTTGTCAACATAATGTTTGGCAACATAATGTCAAATTTGACAACAAATGTAATATGGTATCCTGGAACAGTAAGACATTAGGTAAAACTAAGGCAACCTGAACAAACTATGGACTTTAGTTAATACTAATGGATCAACACTGGTTTATTAATTGTAACAAACATACTACACCAATGTAAGATGTTAATAATAGGCGAAATTGGGTGTGAGGTATACAGTAACTCTCCATACTATCTTCTCAATTTTTCTATAACTTTAAAAACTGTTCTAAAAAATAAAGTCTATTACTTAAAAAAAAAGAAAGAAAGAAAGAAAAGGAGCTTTTGCCCTACTTGAAGCTTGTGAAGCTCTGGTTTGGAGTTCACAAAACAGGTAAACTTCCGTGTGGGGAAATGTCTCCTCCTTTCCAGGCCTTCAAAGGCACAGCGCTTACCAAACTAAGTCAGGTCAGATCCCCAAAGGAGGGGTCAGGGTTGCTGCAGCTCAACTCTTGGCTCTTCTAAGCAGCCCAGGGCTCAGGCACTGAAGAAAGAGACAGTGGGGCTGGCCTGGACCTTGGCTGCCTGCCACAGGTACTACAATTCTCCTCTTGCTTTAGTATCCACTGGTGTGAGCTCCCAGAAGAAGAGACACATCCAGAGAAAACCTTGTCCCAAGACCACCATCCAAACAGAATTATTCTACCTGAGCTACTTCTGATCTGGCTCTGCAATTTAGCATTAGCCTGGGCTCATTGCACTTCCATTTTCTCATCTGTTTATGGGACAAGAATAGGAAGTAGCCCCCTTTCACGGTGTTGCCCTCAGGATTCAATAAGTACATCAACTTAGCCAAGCATTTATTTAGTACTTCCTGGCACACAGGTGGTGGTCAGTGTTAGCTCTTAGCTGACCCTGACCCTGATTCCTCCACCAGTCTCCAATTAGAAGAGTCCATTGCTTTTCATTCCTTTTTGAAAGGGGGTTGTCATTGTATAAATAAATCACCTGAATGCCAATAATCTTGGGGAAGAGCTTAGTTCAGACTTGCTTTTGATCCACTATCATATCTGCACTTAAATGATGTACAGTAATTGCAGTTCTTCAAATTCACCCCTGAACTGATCCCACATGTAAAGATTCATTGTAGCACTACTTGTAATAGCAAGAGATTGGAAACTACCTGAATTTCCTTCAAAAAGGAACTGGCTAAATAAAGCTGTTAATACGCGTGTGGCTTGTATGCGTATACTGCATGTTCCTCTGCTTTACGTAAGTGTGTATGTGTATGTGTGTCCACACACAAACCTAGAAGGATTACACAAGAAACTGGTAATACTGGTGGCCTCTAAAAAGGGACTGAGGGGGCTAGGAGACATGGAAAGACACTTTCCACTGCAGAGCCATTTACGTTTTGCATTTTGAATCATGTGACTATTATTTATGCTCAAAAATGATTATAATCAGAGAAAAAATCCACCACTGTGGGTCACAGCTGTTGGGGTTGGTTTGGGGGAATTGCCAAATCAAATGGGTGGGACACTGTGGCTCTGGAGTGACTGAGAGGTGATGGGGACATCAGCTCTGGTCTGCCTGGCAGACAACAGCAGGATGGGGCATGACTCTCAAAGCCTGCAGTATCCTAGAGCTGCAAATGCTTCCTAAAACAAGTTGATGATGGTAGTGGGAACATGTACATGTAGATAACTCTAGAGAGTCCAAAACCACTATCCTAGGACCGAGCAGGATGGGGCATGACTCTCAAAGCCTGCAGTATCCTAGAGCTGCAAATGCTTCCTAAAACAAGTTGATGGTGGTAGTGGGAACATGTACATGTAGATAACTCTAGAGAGTCCAAAACCACTATCCTAGGACCCTGCTTCCTCCTTCCAAAAGGACCATGTTGCAAATCTGCAATTGAGGCAGCACAGAGTAGGGGTTAAGGGGCAAGTATCCTAGAGTCAGCTCCCTAAGGTCAAACCCAATCCCACTACATGCCAGCTGGGTGAGGCCTTCAGCAGTTTGCTCCCCTATTCCCCTGTAAAGAGCAATAAAGACTTACATGGCACAGGTAAGCCTTACCTGGTAAGTGAACTATACATGTTTTCATATCATTGTAGTTCCTACTACACATCAAGAAATTACCATGTGCTCTTGAATTTAGTAACTGGAACTCTTCTAGGTAACACCAGCAGGTGTTAAAATTACTCATGAAGTGGAACCAGAGGAAATTACTAGGGAAACAAAAAGGGTTGATGCTCAGCAGGGCAAATGCACATGTGTGAGTTCCTCCTGGTGGAACCAACATGAAGAGGTGGGCCCTGGAATCTTTGTCATCGCCAGCATTTGCTGTCCTTTGAGGTCAGACCTCAACCAGTCCTACGAAGGTCTAGCCTGGGGCCTCATAGGGAGAGGGATCTATCACTACTCTCTACTGCTGTTCCTCATCCTCAAGTCCAGCCAGTCACACCCCGTACCTAGTGTCTGGGACACTGGCTAACACACAGTTGGCTCCCAATATGACAGAACTGAAAACTAAAACTGAATGGATGATCCGTTTGGGAAGACAAAAGAAGTTCTGGAGGTGGATGGTGGTAATAGGTGTACAGCTATGTGAATGTACTTAATGCCACTGAATGGTACAGTTAAAAATGATTAAAATGGTAAATTTTACATTATGCATATTTCCCCACAATAAAAATAAATAAATAAATAAATGGATGAGGTCTAATCTCATCTTCACCTTTATGTTCTCCTTTAATTCTCCTCCACGCCCCCTGACCACACGTTGGCCATCTCCTTTATCAGATCCTATTCTCTATACAGGAAAAGGGACCCAAATTCCTTTCTGGGTCCTCTTCAGTCTCTACACTCCCCTTCCAACTGGTATCACCAGGCCCTTGGCTTTTATTCCAGCTGTACCCTGAGCACTGCCCATAGCTGCTGACCTCCAGCCCTGGTGGCCTGTGAGCCCCAGAAGCCTATTCAACACCTCCGTCTGCAGCCCTCACAGGTACCTCACTCTCGACCAGGTCAAAACAGAGCTACCCTCCTCCCTGACCTGCTCCTCCCTCCCATTTCCCCATCTCTGCCAACAGCCATTCCCCCAGATGCTCAGCTCTATAGCTAGGCAGGACATGTGACTTCCAGCTTCCCTGGGCCCCAACTTCCAATCCACCAGCATGTCCCACTGCTCTTCCTCTGAAGCACACCCTAAGTCTGCCCTCTCTCTGCTCCCCACTGCCACTACCTCGCTCCAAGCCTCCTTCATTTCCTGCCTGGACTAGCACAGTGGCTTCCACCCCCACCCTCCCAACAATTCATTCTCCTCACAGCAGCCAAAGCAATTGTCATAAAAGGCAACTCTGATCATCACTCCCCTGCTTCAAACCCTACAGAACTCCTCAGTGCTCTCAGGCTAATGTCCACATTCTTCACCTGGGGTCCCAAAGCCCTAGATCTCTGGTTCCTGTCCACCCACCCCACCTCATGCTGGATGGCAGACCCTCTCACTCGCTCACCAGCCACACCAGCCTTCCTGTTCCTTGTCCCACCTCAGTGTCTTTGCACCTGGCTGTCCCTCTGCCTGAATGCTGTTCTACTGCACTTCACAAAGCTGCTTCTTCTCATTCCCAGCTCGCCCTACATGTCACCTCCTCAGAAAGGTCTTCCTGCCCCCAACACCTGAAGCAGCCCTGGCCACTGTCTCCCATCTCCCACCCTCCGTTTCTCTGGACAGCATCATCACTTGCTCTTCATCTTCCTCACTAGGGAGGGAGTCACACGGCAGGGCCCAGGGCTGCCAGTCTCCCTGCTGGCTCCCTGCTCCTAGAGCAGTCCTGGCACAGAGGAGCAGCCATGCAGCAGGGAGGGGGTGAGTGAGCATATCAATGGAAACTCAAGACCTCGCAAATGGGGCCCATAATTTGGAAAGCCGCCAACAGGCGAGTGGCAGAAACAGGTGAAATCTCTGGGGGGAGAAGGGGAGAGCAGAGTGACAGAACCACCGTGGCTTGTTGCGGGGGGAGGAGGTGGCCTAACTGAACAGTGACTGTGACCTTACTCCCTTCAACTTGGGGCTTGTAGCAAAGACATGGCCCACCTGGGTGCAGGGAGCTTGATCTTCAGACACAGAGCCTGGCCCTTTGCTAGCACCCCCCACCCACATTGTGCTTTGTGTGAAAAACAGTCCTGTGACTCACCCTGAAGGAGGGGAGGGAAACAGTTTGAAAGCCACAAAAATATATTAAAACAGCTGTCATCTTCTCTCTCAGTACTGGCTTCCCTTCCCAATATCCCTTGCCCACCACCCACCATAGACTTTTAAAGAAAAAGACGCCCAGGGCTGGAAAATGGAGGCACCCCAGCTGCAGCTCAGGGTCTGGGGAGGTCCCTCCAGCCTGGGAGTGGAGGGCAGCTAACAGTCTCTACAGGCTCAACGCCACCGTCGACGATGGGGACGCTGGGAGGTCGGAGGTGCAGGAGGGTCAGTCAGGACGCAGCGGACAGTCGGGCCTTGCCACAGGGACAGAAAACAGAAGAGAAATGAACAGAGTGAAGACAGGGAAAGACAGAAAAGTTAAATCAGTCAGGGGAGGTGCAGAGGAGTGAGGGAAGTTGGCAGGGTAGGGGGATAAGGGAGCCCCTCCAGGTGACACCCACTCTGTGGGCGGTGGTAGGGGACCGGAAGGCTGAGGGGCTGGGGTTTGAGGCAGCAGACACTGCTGCTGAGAGGGAGAAATGGGAAATGTGGGAAATGTAGGAGAGGAAAAGGGCACTTGGCACATGGGAGTGGTAGAAAAGTGGGCTCACTCTGTGGGCGGTGGTAGGGGATCGGAAGGCTGAGGGGCTGGGGTTTGAGGCAGCAGACACTGCTGCTGAGAGGGAGAAATGGGTAATGTGGGAAATGTAGGAGAGGAAAAGGGCACTTGGCACATGGGAGTGGTAGAAAAGTGGGCTCTGCCAAGGCCACAGCCAGAGAGGAAAGAACGGAGGACATAAGAGAGGGGAAAGTCCCAGAGCAGGTAAGGCCAGGCCATAATGACCATCCCAGACTAGGAAAAATGGGGTGAATCCTCAGAATGCTCGGGCCCAGCTTGAATGCCTGAAGGAGACAAGCAGTGTCATCCAGGAGCTGGCAGGGAGGGTGAGTGGGCCCTCACGGAAGGCTCTGATGGAGCCGGGAGCCTGGAGACGGGCCGGGGCAGACACCTGCGCGTTCTGTGCCTGTGTCCTGCCCCACAGGTGGGCTAGAAGGTCCTGCGGCCCAGTCTTTTGAACACGCTCACAGTGCCTGCGTGGTCCATCTGGGCACCAAGGCTCTCGCTGGAGCTGCAGCCCCGGGGCCCCACCAGAGTCCTCTTAATGGTGACCTTGACCTCGGCCGAGGACTTACTCTTGGTGCTCGTGACCTGGCTGTCTTGGGCCTCAGGCACAAGGGTGGCCTTGCCCAGTCTCTGGATGATGCTGACTTTGGACAGGGTCTCCGGCTTCCTCTCAAGCCCGGGGCGTGAGGAAAGTGCCAGGCGCCGCAGCATCGGGGCAGCAGCTGTAGTTGCTGAGCTCGTGGCCTTGGCTTTGACAGTCAGGGTCGGCTGGGGACTGGCCTTGGCAGGGCCCCGTCCTAGTTTCTTCAGTACCCCAGCGTACTGCAAGACAGAGCTGCTACTGTCATTGTCGCTGTCCCAAGCCAGATCCTCATCCATCTCTGGGGTAGCCCCCAGGCGACTGAAGACTCCTGTGGGCTACAGAGGTCAGAAACAGGACAAGTGAGTCATTCAGTCACTCAACACACATTGATAGAGAGCCGCCTCCTCTGTGCCTGGCCTCCCAGAACTCACAGTTGGGAGAAACACCCATGGGTAACACCCGAGATAGAGGTGAGAGCCATAATGGGGGTATCGTAGGAGTTTGGAGAAGCCCAGAGGAAGCACCTGACCTTGCTGGGAAGTTCAGGGAAGGCTCCCTGGGAGAGGGGACATCTCATCTGAGATCTGAAAGTTGAATGGAAGTGTGTCTAATCAAGAAGGAGAGGAGAAAGGGTGTGCCACAATAGGAAAGACAATTTGCAAGGTCTATAGGTGAGCATGAACAGAAAGATTAATTTGGTCATTCACTCAATAAATATTTTCTGGGTCCCAACTCTATACTTGGCCCTATCCCCAGACTGGGTGATGCTAGGGACACAATGATGACAAAGACAGCCCCAGCCCTGCCCTCATGTGGCACACAGTCCAGTGGGGGAGACAGACTTGGCATCGGAAATGACACACATAATTCTATACGTATGACAGTGATATATTCTACGAAGGAGAGTGGAATGTGGGGGGGCAGGAGACAGGGAATGCTCATCTCCTCTTGGAGTTCAGAGGGACTTTCTCTGAGGCACCAACTTTGAAGCCAGGGCCTCCAGGACAAATTAGCAGAGAAAAGAACAGGTACTAAGTCCCAAAGGCAGAAATAATACTCATTTATTGAGCACTCACTATGTGCCAAGCTCTTCACATGGCAAGATCTTTAAGCCACATGATCCCGTGTTATCCTCATGATAAGAAGGAAAAGAAAGCCAGAGTGGTTGTTCCCTGGTGAGCAAGGGACCGAGAGGTAGGAAACACTGCTAGGGAGCTCCTCAAATCTAAGGTGACATTTAAAGAGTGCATACCATGTGCCAGACACCTCAGAACCATGCAGGTATTTTCTCACTTAATCCTCATGACCATCCTATAAGGTTGAGTACTAAACAGATGAGGAAACTGAGTTACAAAGGGCTTAAGTGACGTGGCCAAGGCCACGCAGCCAGGCTACAGTGGGCTCCAGGGTGTGCTTCCAATCACACGCCCTGCCTGGGGCTTACAGGACTATGAAGCCACAACAGGAAGAACAGGCTTCATCGTGGGCACAGTGAAAAGCCTCTGAAGGGTTTCCACAGGAGGATGGGCCCTGTCCTGTGGCAGCACACATTATTTCTGTGGGGACAGGGGGCTGGAAGGGATTAACGGTATCTGTGTGAGACCAGTTAGGAGGCTATTGCCCTATCCAGACAGGGAGAGGTGGCAGAGGAAGTGGAGACAGATGGAGTCATCAGATTCAGTGACTGACTAGAATGAGGATGATGGGCATCCCTGAGAATGGGGGCCCAGGAGAGGAGTTGCTCTGGGCAAAGATGCTGAGGCCAGTTAGGGACATGGTAGGTGGGAGGCATCCAGGAGTCTGCTGGACCCCTGGCACTGGAAATTGGGAGAGAGGTCTGGGCAAAAGACAGATGGGAAAGCCACCAGTACAAAGAAGGAAACCAAGAACAGAAAGGTGGGTAGGAGAGACGGCTTCGGGGCACGTGAAGGATGAAATGTGGAAGTGTCAGGAACAATATGCAGGGAAGATAAGAATTGGCAAGCCCTGAGTCGCTCACCCAGTCTCAACTCACTTTATTCCCTGTTGTCATGTCTGCCTTGGTCTCAGCGCCGAGGCGGTCAAAAACGGATGTCCTGTGGAGACCTGGGAGGGAAGTGAGGCCATCAGGCAGCACCAGCTGAGCAGCCCCAGCAGGGCCAGGCCCAGGCTGAGCACTGTGCAGGCACCAAGGGAGGAGACAACACGGCCAGCCCGGACACCAGTCAGCTCTGCTACAAGCTGTGCCGAGTCAGGTTTTATGTCTGCACTGCTGACTAACATTGACCTTAACCCACACGCATCTGGCTAGTGTCAAATGTGGGAAACATCAACTAAAATTGACACTTAACTTTCCATGCACCTTGATACAAAATTATGAAGTGTGTGTGGGAGAAGAGTTCTTAATCCCTACTCATTCCTTTTTGGGGTCACAGGCCTCAGAGAATCTGATGAATGGTAGTGAGTCCTCTCCCTAAATAATAACCTAAATATCCACCAATACAAGAATGTTTACTGAATTATCGTATATAAATACTATGGAAATAAACAGCCATTAAAAAAATGGACTAGAGGGCTGGCCCGTGGCTCACTCGGGAGAGTGTGGTGCTGATAACACCAGGGCCACAGGTTCGGATCCTTACATAGGGATGGCCGGTTAGCTCACTTGGGAGAGCATGGTGCTGACAACACCAAGTCAAGGGTTAAGATCACCTTACTGGTCATCTTTTAAAAAAATAAATAAAAAAAAATAAAATAAACTAGATCTACATGCACTAATATAAAAAGACTTCAATTAAAAAGTTGCAGAACAATATCTATAGGATGATGTTACTTGTGTTTAAAAAAGAATAAAATGCTTATCTATATATATAAGTACGCATAGATGCATATAAGTTCATAGATGCTGCTCTGGAAAGGTCAACAATAGATATGGGAGATGGGAGTGAAAGGACAGTTTGTTTTTACTGTATATGTTTCTGCATCATCTGGAAGTTCTTCCATGAGAACATATATATTATTCTAAAACAACCCTACTATAAGGAAGACCATCTCCAGCTTTAGACTGAAGGCCAATTAGTCCCCTCTGGCTCCTAAAGACAGTGCCCACTTTGGGGCCCCTGCCCTTGGCCAGGCACCATCACTCACCTTACAGGCAGGCCATCACTAAATCCTTGCCCCCGCCACTCAGAAGAGGCACCAAGGAGCCTAGATACACTAACTGCAGGATGAGAGGACAGAAGTCACATGTCCCCTCCTCTGTGGCCACCATTGCTGTCCCCTTGGCCCAAAGCTCCCTAGGTTCCCTGTTACAGCCTGCTTCTCAGCCATCGTCCATAGGACATAATACCAGTGCAATACAGCAAAAGAGAAACGAAGTCTCTGCACCAAAGCGTGCCCCAGACAGGTCAGTACCTTTTGCTGCCTGCTGCTGCTCCAGGATCTTGCGGGTCCGAGGAGTGGTGCCTTTTGGCATATTGATGATGTATTTCCCCTCCATCTCGGCAGTGACTCGGCGCCTCTTGGTGGGAACAGCCAGGCTTTCCTCTTCCCGGCGGGCCAGGGCTGCTGGGGGAAGACAGCAGGGTCAGCACCCTCTGGGATGAAATGTTCTCCCGGGATGGGGGCTGGACGCCAGGCAAAGGGCATTCACACAACTGTAATCCCTTGTCTTCCCAACCACCCCCATCACCACTGACTGAACCACCAAGAAACACAGAGGTCTAGGCAAAATGAGATTGCAAAACACGCTCGGGGGGCTGGCCGGTTAGTTCAGTTGGTTAGAGTGCAGTGTTATAACACCAAGGTCACAGGTTCAGATCCCCATACTGGCCAGCCACCAAAAATCAATTAATCAATCAATAGAACACACTCAGTATTGCCAGGCTATGGCAGGCCCTCCAGGCTCTTGGTGGCTCTGTCCCTGCCACAAGCAGGCTTACCCCCTAGTCCAGCCCATATCCCCTCAGAGGGGAACCTGTTGGGTGTGGAAAGGTTCTAGAGCTCCATCTAGGTAATACTTTCATGACTGCACTCACTTTTTAACAAGTAATTGAGTTGTATACTGAGAATGTTTGTGCATAAGTAAACTATATTTCATTAAAAAAAAAAGAATCCCTTCAAATGTGTCGAGGAGTAAAAGAGCCAGTTCCTTCCAGGCTCACCATCTTTCCAATACTTTATTAACTAATTTTAACTTTCTTTTTATGGCACATAAATCAAAAGCCAGAAGGGGATAAGGCACTTCTAAACACACAAGGCAAAGGGAGATGGCACGATGGAGGTGGACAGTGTATGAAGGGACTGGGCATCAGAAAAGTGAAGCTCCCTGGGCCTCAGTTTCCACATTTGCTTTATGATACCATAAGATCATTGTTGTGGGGATGGGACCATCAGAGGCACAGGAGCATGGCAGACAGAGGGAGGGCTTGGGAGCCCAAAGGCTGGAGTCCCATTCCCAGCTTTCAAGCTGAGACCTGGAAGAGGAACAGAAGCCGACAACCACAGAAAAGTCTGAGGAGAAAGAGTGCTCCAGATGAAGGGACACGAGGAGCAAAGGCTCCACAATGGCTGGAGAGGAGCTGAGCCAGTGAGCAAGGAGGAGAGATGCAAGAGAAGAATCCACATTGCGCAGGGCCCTATAAGACCATGCGGAGAGTTATAGACAGGAGTGGTATAAGATCAGATTGAAGGTCTTAAAGAGTCCCTCTGGCTGCTGAGGAGCAGCAGTAGGTCCTCCTAGGTAGGGCATCATCACCCTCCTTCCTAGAGACGTGGAAAGTGAGGCCTACAAAGCTGCAGTGACTTGACCGAGTTCACAGAGGTGATTCAAATCCTAACACTTTATACACCTTGTAGCCTTCAAAGAACCATGCAACATTGGGAGCATGACCCCCAGATTCCTTCTGCCAACACACATTCACCTCCAGCTCCTCCCACCACCTGCTCGAGTCCCCTCACCAGCAGCCTTGGCACTCTTTGCTGCCATCTTGTTGGACACAGTGACCGAGATCTTGGAAGTGCTGGTGTCTGGCCGCCTAGGGGGAGTGCCAGGTGGGGAGTCACGGTTCAGGCTGTTGGCAATCATTCGGGAGGCGGCTACAGGAAGGAAAGGGAAGAGTCCAGTCAGGTGAGGCCTTAGGAGGGAGGACTGAATCTAGTCTCAGGTCCAGCATGGAGAAGGCGAACCTTGGGACTGATGAGCAAGGAGCAACTGGGGTCACCCCTGTGGCTGCACTGTCTTCCAACAAGGATGCTTGGGGTGGGGTGGACTTCATCTTCCCAGGAACTAGCCCACCCCTCCCTGGCCTGGGAGCTTTTCTCAGGGCCCTAGACCAGATTGGTTCCTATCCCACCTCACCTGCCAGCTACCCAGCCCTATGTTGAGCTCATCCCTTCCCTTTCCGCTCAGCCACACTGGTCTCTGGGCTCTTCCTCACACACAATAGGGTGCCTCCTCAGGGCACTTGCTATTTCTTCGGCCTGGAATGCAGTTCCCTGAGTACCAACAGACTTGCTTTGCTTCTTCACTCAGGTCTCCTCTCAGATGGCAACTCCTCATAGAAAACCTCCCTGACCACCCCATAAAACCCAGCACCCCATCAACAACTTGCTATTTCTTCTGCCTGGAATGCAGTTCCCTGAGTACCAACAGACTTGCTTTGCTTCTTCACTCAGGTCTCCTCTTAGATGGCAACTCCTCATAGAAAACCTCCCTGACCACCCCATAAAACCCAGCACCCCATCAACCTCTATTGCCTTCACCCACGTGACACTTTCTTTTTCTTCATAGCCCTTATTACTGCTGGACATTAAATTATGTTTCTTTGCTTTCTGGTTGACTCCCCCACAAGAATGCAAGCTCCGTGAGGAAGCATTGTTTGTTTATGGCTGTATTCCCAGTGCCCATATGGCTTCTGGCCCTTTGTAGGTCCTCAATACTACAGAAAAGATGAACACCATCACTGAAACTTCCCATCATCATTGGGAGAGCCTCCATTCACAACCCTCTTTACCTGGCCTAGGCAATGTGATCAGAATTTTTAGCTATAAAAAGCAAGCAGTTGAGAGGGCCCTGCCTTGTGTACTGTATACAGAGGGAAATGCATTGTTTAAAAGAGGTCACCATGACAGGTAAGCACCATTTGGGTCGAGGTTAAACAATCAACTCTGTCTTTGCTCTGTTGAATTTGAGTTGCAGTCAGGATGTCAGAGTACGAAGATCTGTTCTCTTCCTCCTCCCACCTCCCAGACACACACATCAATGTTATACGGTGTATATAAGTGATCACATCAGGAATGTTGTTTTTGGAGCACTCTTCTCCACCCCTTTCCTTCTTTGCCTGTTTCTCCTTCTCTTCTTAAGTGCTTGCTTTCTTTTTGTTGTTTTTGTTTTGGATTTTGGTGGCTGGCTGGTATAGGGATCTGAAACCTTGACCTTAGTATTATAACATGGCACTCTAACCAACTGAGCTAACCAAACAGTCCTTAATTGCCTACTTTCTTCATTAGTGTTTTTGGTGTGTTCTACTTTTTTAAACTTTTTAAAAACTATTAAAGGGGCCGGCCCGTGGCTCACTCGGGAGAGTGTGGTGCTGATAACACCAAGGCCATGGGTTCGGATCCCATATAGGGATGGCCGGTTTGCTCACTGGCTGAGCGTGGTGCTGACA